ACCGTTTTAACCCCAGTTCTAGAATCTAAGCAGGGAAGCTTGAATTCTGGCTCTCAACCTGTAGCTATCTAGGAGACCAATACACAGAAATCTGAGAATGGAGGGAAATACTGGTTTAACATCTTATTTTGTTTGACCTCTGAACTTTTTATTGGCCTCCTGCTCCCCAAAGGGTCCCCTGCTTCTGTTGGCTTAATGTCTCAGAACTTTGCTGTGATTGGTCTCAGACACCACTTTGCCATCCACTATCTGGAGGGTGGTGATCTTTCGGACGGTTTGCATGGAGTTGCTGCTGTCCAGGGCATCACCAAGACTGAAGTCCTTGCCATCTTCCAGCAGGTGACGGTAGGTGGCGATCTCGGCCTCCAGCTTGACCTTGATGTTCAGCAAGGCCTCGTCCTCCTGGGGCTGGTGCTGTCTCTCTGCCCAGGTCTGTGCCGTCTCTGACTCCAGATGCAGCAGGATCCCATTGAGCTGCTCCATCTGAAGGGCGTAGAGGGCCTCCACCTTCCTCAGGCTGTTCTCCAAGCCGGTCTTCAGATTTCTCATCGAGTCCAGGTCCATCTCCAAGGACTGGACTGGAGATGAGGCCACGTGCTGACAGTATCCCCTCCATCACACACTGAGCTTCATCCCAGGACCGCACAGGCCCTGCTCAGCTGGTGGCTGGCTCTGTGTACACACAGCAGCCAGGAGCGGAAGTGCGCTAAGACCTCTGGGAGCAGGCAACATTGAGCAGCACAGGCCCCAGAAATGCTCTGCTAACAGACAGCACGGGGGCCCAGCAACATCAATCCTCCGCCGCCTGAGGCAGTGACCTTAGGCAAGTACCTTCTTTCCACTGAGGGTTTTGTTTCTAAAAAACAAATAGGATTGGTAGGGCGTTGTGGCTCATGCCTGTAATCCCAGCACTGTGGGAGGCTGAGGCAGGTGGATCATTTGAAGTCAGGAGTTCAAGACCAGCCTGGCCAACATGGTGAAACCCCATCTCTACTGAAAATACAAAAATTAGCTGGGTGTAGTAGCATGTGCCTGTAAGCCTAGCTACTTGGGAGGCTGAGGCAAGAGAATCACTTGAACCAGGGACTCAGAGGTTGCAGTGAGCTGAGATCACACCACTGCACTCCAGCCTGGCGACAGAGCAAAAACTCCGCCTCAAAAGAAAAAAAGAGCAGGATCTCCTGCTCCGTAGCCCAGCCTGGAGTACAGTGGTGTGATCACAACTCATTGCAGCCTGAACCGCAGGCTCAAGCAATCCTGCCTCAGCCTCCCAAGTAGCTAGCACTACAAGCATGCACCACCACGCCAGGCTGATTTTTGTATCTTTAGTAGAGGCAGGGGTTTGCTGTGTT